TTTTACCGATGAATTAATCATCGTAAAATGAGTCTCTGTACGGGAAGATTGTAGATATGAATTATTTGTTGAAAATTAATTTAATGTAATACATATTACGTTATTAACGCTCGCATGAAATGTAAATCAGTTTCATTAATATGATTTCAACATTTACCACAATGTTATGACGTAATCAATATGGATAAAAATTTTTAATTTACGGTGTAGTAATCTATTTTTAGTAAATTTACAATAATATGTAATTGTCACAACGAATGTATGTACTATGAAACGAAATAAAAAAGTGGCACGCGCTCATACTTCGGATCACTCGAAATTTCACTTACCATTCTTTGAAATTTATATTTAACTGGAAAAATATTTAAAAGGAAATTGTCAACACTAAATAATTTATTCAATGCAAAATGCATTTGCGATCAATCTCGTACAAACACACGTACAGCTGATCTGACTTTGACTCTGTCCACATAATGATTATTAATAGACGTATTATCAGATTACACCTGATCGAGTGTAATCGTTAGGGTGAGTCTATAAACGTAATACGATTTCGATGGGAGCATCATTTCATATTCAAATGATTATTATTCCGACACATTGGGGCTATCATGCAAACAACAAGTTAAATCTAATTTAACAGTATAGGATTAAATCCGAAATCGATTGATAATTAAGCGTGTTGCCCAATTGTCAATAAGCTAGTGATATCGCTTCTTCTTGCAATTATGATTAATAATCTTAAATTTATTATATTGTATTACTATTATCTTTTACAGTATACACGATGATTTTCCAGCGATGATTTTTCCTTTATTACATGTTTTTTATTAACTCTCATCTAATTAATTTTCATTTTACAGAAATTACAAAAATTAAATGATTTTTATATATATCTTGTTATTAATATCTTTAGAAAGTAGTATCTTTAGAAAATGCAAGATTATGTATTTAAAAAAATCGAAGGAGTAATCAATATAATCGTGAGATAGAATCGTGGGATAGAGTCCCCAAAAAAAAAATCATTATAAAATTCATATAAAATTCCTATGTATAATCTGATAATTACATGTGCAATCATTATGTAATATTAGATAAAATCGTTTATGTTAAAGATACGATGTTAAAGATAACTTCATATGTAATGAAGAAAATTATTTGTAATGAGATGAAATTGCATGAAATTGCATGAAATTAGGTAATTTGTGGAATAATATTTCAGCTAGTGGTTTATACCTCTCGTAAAAAAATTGTATATAAATGTTATAATTATTACTTAGTGTTTCTAGTATTAAAAAAAAAAAGAAATACGCTAGACATGAACGATCCAATCATGTATACCAAAGGTGTATCGTATTTTATCTCAGCTTTTTTATCGATATTATTTTCAATTTCTCAACAGTTATTTTAGTCCATGCTTTTTTTATTCTGTCTAAATTGCTCACTATTTTCCATCGTATCCCTCGGCCCTCATTTCATCCGTCTAATAGGATCTATTATCGCGCAGGATTGGCTTCCGGTAGGCATTCGTAGCTGGACTCCGGTCTACATCGAGTGGTCGAGGTCGTCAAGGGCGGGCCTCAATTTCCACGCGGCCTACAAGTTTATCAATGACACTTACTGTGGCGATCACACAACGGCCGAACCGGAAGGCGAGGTCAATGGCGGTGATCTGGCAAGCGCTGGACTCAAGCTGAATCAGTATTATCAGCAGAAGTGTACCTGGATCCTGGACTCACCGATCGACCGGCAACTCGTCATCGAAGTCAAGTCCACTCAGAGCCGTAAGTAGATCTTGTGTCTATATCTTCTCACTCGCAAAAGTTATTCCAATAAAACTTTGATACTTACATAGTATTTTCACAATATCTTAAATATATTTAAATAAATTTAAAAGAATATATTTAAATATATTTAAATATCATAAATATATTTAAAATATTATTCATGTGAATTCTTGACTCTAGATTGAAGCTCTAATCTGATAAGGTATATTTATTTACTTTACACAAATTTTTTGCATAATTTTGTGTAAGAATATTGGGAAGTAATTTAACTAGGTGTAATAAATTACGTGTGTTAACATTTTTTTACTTTAAATCAAAGAAATGTAAATTATTCTTGGAATTCGTTAGCTCGCAGTTTTATATCTTAAAAGAAGAACTGCGAGCAGTTTAATAGCACGAAAATGATTTATCTAAGTACCTATCTACGTCTCTCTAGAGAACATTCGAGCGATTTATCTTCGAGCGGCATTAAAAGAAAACAAAAAGCAACTGCGTTCCAAAGCGGCGTATCTTTCATAGATCTTAAACATTAAGAATCGTTACTATAACGCAATTAATTTTTTACTGTAACGAACCTGTTGATATTCTTGATAAAATTGTTTCGACTTAACAGCTTGTTATACATATTTTACAAGTAATTACATTCCGAAACTATATAGATATATTTAAACCTTTTTTTATTACTTTTTGAAAGTCAATCATCATATTAATCCTCTTTTTATCGACAAGATCTCTTCAGAAGATTCAAAAATATTAAAAGAAAACAATTTTCAAGCTAAGATAGTGTCGCTTCAATATTTTATTGCAGTAAGATTATTATGAGACAACATTCTTTTCAAGTTGTTGTTATCTTTAACGACGTTCTCCCTGCTATCGCCTTCAGCTCTTCTCGATAAACACAAAATTCTAGTCTGCGTCTTGCAATAGGATTTCTATTCTCAAGAATTCTATCTGCAAAATTCTATTTCAACCTCAGTCGCGGGGCTCGAGAGAAAACATAGATAGATCATCCTACACACGCCTCGTCTCTGGCGACGACACGGCGAAATCTTCTCTCGATTGCTTTTCTTCCGAGAACCGCCGGAATTTCTATCCGCGCCATTGGCTCCGCCGCCGCCGTCGCTGCCGCCGTCGCCGTAGCGAACGAAAGGGGTGAAAGTTGAGGAAGAATAAGTCGGAGGGTGAGAGAATGTCGCGGCCGACCGAAGAGACAGAGGAGCGTGGGCGCGAAACGAATGGCAGTGGGTCGTGAGATTAAAGAGACTATCAGATTTACCACGACAACGGAAACTAAAGCTTTACCATGTAGAAATCACGCTCTCTCTCTCCCCCTCCCTCTCTCCCCCCTCTCTCTCTCTAATCCTTATTTTTTTGCATCATTTTCTCTCTTTTTCGCCCTTTTCCACCTTCATCGCCTTTCCGCCTTTCCCATTTCTGCGGAACGTAAATCGTCATCTTACGAGCACGACAAAGGCGACTATCTATCGCTTATATTCAAGCTTAGGAATATTACGATTCTTCCTCTCGGATGAAATGCTGCATGAAAAATATTGTTCTCTCTGTGATGTAAAGATAGCTGCATTCATGGTTGAATTTACTTTTATTTCTGCGACTGTACGACGCCATCATCCCCTTCGAAATTGATCACTCAATGGTATCGATTTTTTACTGCGCGATATTATTATTCGATATGATAATTTCAAACGATTCATTTATTTCAATAGTATTCTTCTCTATTTCAATTTTTCCTGTTTTCTCTTGAAACGCTTGTACATGGCGATCGATCGATACAACGGGATGTATGTATACATATATGATAGCACAATGAATTGTGATCTGTATGTTCGTATAGGGAAATATCATTTATTGGATGCGGAGAATATCCTCTGCAATGTTTCAAGAAAATGGAGTTTTATTGGTTCAATATATATGAATGATGGAATATTGAACTCGAACAAGAAGCTTTGATTTATGCGGATAGATTACGCGGATGAAATTCGATTGGAAAAAAGAAAAAATTTCCATTCCATATGCTCCGTCTTCTTATGTCAACATCTTGAATACAATTACAGCGCGCGCATTTATTCACTAAAGGAGCGTAGCAATAAGTAACGAATGAATTATTAAATGAATTAATGAGGCTTCATTTCTATGAAATTATTCCCATTTTATGATTTTATGAACCGCTGCGAATCGAATTACTCCGGTGACGAGACATTCCATCCGCAACTTCACCATAGAAATGTCGCTGTCTTCCCGTTTCTTTCATCTTCTCATTTCTGCTTTCACTCTATAGCTTTTTCATTTTCTTTCTCCTCGCCATTTTATATTAGAATATTATAAGTAGAGTTGGAATCGTAACCAAAGCCCGACAAACGCCGGCACCGGAAATGGTTTTAATATACCTCCCAAGCCACGATATCACCGTAGCTGCCACCATATTTCTTTCTTTCTGTATTCTCTCCTCCTAGTTACACTTTTTACGAAATTTCTTCTTCGAATGATGCAGTTTCTGGCTATGAAAGATTTTCCCATATAGATAACAAGAATCCTGACAATAAACAGAATTATTAATCCTCTCATGCATGCATATTATTCCCTATGGAAAAAATAATTCTTGTATAGAAAATATAAGAAAATACACACACAAAGCGTATAATATTTACTCGCACAATTGTTACGAATTATTAATTATTTACATGCGTATATCCGTACAAATAATGAAATTAATTATTAAATTACTTTAAAATAATTCAATCTAATTCAAAAAATATAAATTCAAGGAAGGTATTTAATCTGACACAAATTAATTTAGAACAGAGATTCTTCTTCGGTAAGAAGTTAGAGATTAATGACGACACGTCTCGTAATGCTCTTTCTACTTATATATCGCATAAGGACTTGTAATGTATCCGTAATATCTATGATTTATTTAGATATATTATGATATATTCATGAACATACATTCACGTTATTCCCATACTTGACGCAAAAGACTAAAAGATACCGTGTCTCTTTATTCGAACCATCGAATTGACTGGAAGCACGATAAAAAATGATATCTAAAAAACGACTAAAGTTCGATTTCACCAATGTAAGATTAACTTTAATTTAGGTTTAACTTATTATTTTTTTAATTCTTAAAACTAGAAAAAGATAAAGGATAAATTGAACAAAGATTAAAATCAATCTTATATTGAGGCTAAATGAACGAAATTTTTAATAGATTCAATTTCTTGGATTCTTATTATACAATAAAAGTTTATTTTTTTTACAATAAATTTTTTTAAAAATATTTGAACTTTTATAAAAATTGGATAATACCGAGGTTTGCAACGCTGAGTGTTTTCTGTTTTATACAACGCTTCTTCTATTTTAGGACCTTGCACGGCGTGGAACCTGACGATACATGAGTACAGGAAGAACGGCGATCCCGCTGGAATCAGATTGCACACGTTCTGCTCGAGAGACACGCACAAGAATTTCACTCTGCCGTGGAAGATGAATACCGTGGTGGTTAGGTGAGTTTCTTACCTTGACAGTCGCTCTCGCCGATTAACCTGGCGAAAGTTTTGCCGTGATCTTGTCTTATTACATTTAACGATAGTTCCGCGACAGTTTCGACGAAGGAGATTATGACTTGGTTGGCTGAAATATAACAGCATTTTACTGGTGTACGCAATCGAATTCATGCTCCGTATATACTACATAAAACCACGGTGGATTGATGCTCGCGTGATCCGTTACTGTCGTCTCGCACGAAGAAATTATCCACTGATTAACAATCGGCCATCATTCATCTCACTTTATGGCAATCTCAATTGCGGCACATTACTTCCTTTATTCTATAATCTACGTGATAAAAGAAAAATATGCTTAACAGCAGCTTCTTATGAGTACTTTCTCAATAACTCTGGCAGTAAACAATTGGCATTCGAAATAGAAAAATTATAGTCATTTTTATCATTTTGTATAAATATATTTTAATTTTACTACTTACTACTAAATAAATTATATTAATTTCGATATATTTATACATGTAATATATACTAATTTGCTCAATAAGATCTTGAGTTGGCTCCAAAAGGCTTTTATTACTCCTTATTTATCATTTTTATCACTTTTATTGGCAGGTACTGCAAGAATAATATTTCTGAAATAAATCTGAGAAATTAGAAGAACAAAATTAAAAGAACAAAAAGGAGTTATCGCTATGTATGTACTGAAACTTTAATGTCAAATTACTTTTAAATATACATTGATTTACATTGTCTGGAATATGATATATCTATATGAAATTATAACTATTGAATATATTAAATAATAATTAATTATTGAAACAACTCTGAACCAAAATAAATAATTCAAGAAAAATATTTAAAGTAAAAACAAATTAAAAATTTTAGTTTTGTAAGCAGTATTATTGCTAATGTTTCATCTTACCCGAGGTGCAACTCTCTATACTTTTATGTAATTCATTTCACTCATACTTCAATAAAATTATTATCATCCTTATATAATCGTCAGTCATCTTCAACTTTTAATATCTCAGATTACATTTACGGAAAAGATATTTTGAAATATATAAAAATCATAGCCGACGTCTTCACATTGAAAAATATAAATAGTTTCAAATAAAAAGCCATGTAATGTTAAAAAAAGCTCTGAGTTTGAATGAAAGATATTCAGTGCATAGGAGTAAAATTTGACCTGCTTATTTTCAGACTGCAGGCCCTTGGGAGGACAGCCCCGCAGTATACGATGAGATGGCGAAGTCAGACAGTGATCGCCAACACTCGCAAAAGTGGACCATCGCCAACCCCGAATTGGCCCTTAGTGCACTCCTCGAGTAAGGCTGAGGCGCGAGGAACGGCCCTTATCCTCGTCCTCCTGTTCGCGATCCTACTCGCGCGCCCGTTCAACTGTTGAGACTGTTAAGCTCGGGGAAGCTCGCGTTAATGCACACACTGTTCCTGTTAATCGAAAACCGCGAAGCCCACGTTATTGTCTCACGTGTACATAAATGATAAGGACTGACGCCGGTCCACGTTTTATATCGCTCGATGTGAGATGTTTTCAGAAGATGGCACATTTCGGCACTCTCTCTCGATCGGCAGTGAGATTTTGCGGGCTGGCTCGTTAATCCCCCGCTGCATAATTATCACAAGAGAAATATTTTAGGATGCGAAAAAGGACGCATCGCGCGATGCAGGGAATAAATACCCTGAGAAAATTTTAACTGATCTCTGTTATATTTTTCTCTACAATATATGATCTAATCTTATTCGCGCGATGCGAATGGAGAGCTAATGAGCCAGAGTTTATCGTTTTCCGATCGAATCATATGCATATATATACATATTATACACACACACACACACACACACACACACACACAAAATACATACACACACATACATACATATATATGTACGACAGAATTAAAGAGAATGATCAGCACGTCTAATAAGTGATTAGCTCGCACAACCGACTATCATTTGATCTAAAGGAACAGATCTGTGAAGTCTTTAGAGCATCCACTTCTCATCAGATTAATTTGAATTTTTTATATTCTCTATGCAAATAAATAATGAAAGTTGTTTCAAGATTTTTCATTGCTCTACTCCTCACATTTCATCGTTATTTTATTACAATACAACATATTATCTTCAATTTTACCTTTTAATATATATTCTATATTTCTATATTTCATGTGTATATATATTTTCTAATATGTATTTTTTTAATTTATATTCTTTATTATGTAAAACATTATTTTTTAATATTTTATTTTAGAATTTAGACTAATCTAATTTTTCAAAATGTTTCTTATGAACTAACT